CATGTTCTTTTACAAATCTTTTTACAAAAGGTCTCCAGAGATGTGTTCCATTAGTGGAAGATATCCATAGGCCAGTGAGCCCCTGGGATTTTCAGGGGGATCTAAGGGTGCATTGGGCTGGAGAGCCTCTTGGACCACAAACCTACGCAGCCTGCACTAAACCCCTGGCTATGTACCTCACAGACCACAGCTGGGAAGCTGCTGTTCTGTCCTATTTTTCTTACTGATCCAACATGGGTACATAAAAACAATTACAGTTCTAATTTCAAAGGATCTTCTGCAGTGCTGGATTGAATAAATAAAACTTAAGAAATTTGAAGATTAAAGATCGGAAATAGACATTAAACATAGTGAAAAAGTCTTCTGGAATGAATTGTTTGCAATAGCAAAGCAAATCAGTGTATTTCCAAAGGAAGAGGAAAAGACACGACTGACTGGTACCATCTAAGCACAAGGCAAAAGGGAATTAAGAAGTCATTCACAAACAGGAACCCCCCTGCTGACATTCAGCAGTGAAGTTGTTTTCAGAGTGCACCCATTGTGAAAAATAAAAAGCTTCATGAAAAGCGAGATCAGACAAGGGGAAGTGAAAATACCAATGCCAAGGAAGCTGAAGCAGCAAGAGATCAGAGAGAGCAAATGCAGAGCTAGCTGAAGGCAGCCAGCATGATTTCTATTAGTGACTGGCAGTCACTAACAGGTACTAGGAGCTTCTACCCTAGGACAGTACAGAAGGTGTGGAGATTACAAGTTTTTAAAGAAGAGTTATTACAGCCCTGCAGGAAATCAGCTTTGGGAACTTGAGGAAGACAGCTACCAAAAACCAGGACAAGTCAACATGGGAAATGAAGGAGAAAGTCATGAAAGTAAGTTGCATACCAGCAACACAAGAAAACAGAGTAGAAGAACATGTGTATTTAAAAGAGAACCCTCATGCCAGGTTGATAACCCCAGCAATATGATGAGGGATCACTTGAGGCCACAGATCCTTGGCCATTCTAACCTCTTCTGTGTTTCAGCTTTTTTTTGAGCCACCTGTTGAGAACAACTCTGTGCTCTAAAGCACGATTACTAATTCAGGAGAAAAAACATGGTAAGACATTAATTGCGATTAGGAGGGTTGAATGTTACTACTTCCAGTCACTTAAAAAGTACTTGAAAGTTTGAATTGAAATCCATAGTTAAAATAAGGCATGGTCAAGAGGGCCAAATACTTTGGGTCATTTTGTGTAAGCAGAAAGTTTTCAGTACACTGAATTACAGGCTCTTAAAATCCATGTTTTGTCTTTAGAAGTTTATGACAAGTAAACTCAGAAGACACTGAGATCAGTACATGGCTAAACTCAACTAAATCTGACAGTCTACAAATCTCCATTATTTCATTAAAATAAAACAGGGATTGTTGATGTCTGCTGATGTCTGGATATCTAGAAACCATGAGGAATCAAGGTGAACCCTTGTGCCATGCACTGTTTTAATACGAAGACTGATGCTGTCAAGGCAAAATTAGAGTTGACAAATTCTTTGCAGTATTTCCCTCTCCCTTACATAAACTGTTCTAGTCTTCTGAGAACTCAGTATCAACCTAAGGTCATGTATCAGTTGTTAAAATAAGGCTGCAGACTTCTGAGAGAAGATGCTCTACACCTAGAAGTACTCTTATGGCTCTGACAGCCAGTTAAAAGCCTACAGGATGAACTGCCATCCTACAACATCATTATTGAATTGCCAGGACTTACACCTTCAAAACTCACTTCATTGTGAACATCTGTCTTTTAGGGAGTCTGCTGCTGCCTGCACACAATTTAACTTCACTGCTCACTATTACAACAGCGCTACTTACCTTTCCACGCAAATATCCTCACTTACATTTATTTTCTTGTGCTTCTGCAAGTCTGAAAGTTCTACAGGTTGAAATACATTTACTCCTCTCCTTGCCCTGTTGTGCCTAAGTAACAAGCATGTGAAATTACAGCAGGATATTCACATGGTTTCTGGAGTGCAACTTCCCGCACAATACAGAAAGAATTGTCTTCCTTAGCTCTGAAGTTCTAAATTTGGACAGCTATATCATGATCTTCTTGGTTTTATATTGAAATGCTTAGGCCTCAAATCGATATAAATTTAAGGGTGGGGGGGCAAGGAGCATTACTCTTCTACTCCAATTTTATATTCCATTTTGATAAGTAGCTGGCTTTAAGCAAATCACGTAACTTTAAATAATTCTTTAAGCCTTCTCTTGGTATCAAAACTCAGATGTGAATGTTCTCCTGTAAGAATCATCATTAGAACAAGGACAGCAATGAAGAAAACGTCAGGATTTTTCAGCAATTTATAATAGTATCATCCTGAAACAGCGTGACAGGCTGGAGAGGGATCATCATAATTGTCCTATTTTAGTTTCCCCAGAGATAATTTTAGGCTGAGCCGCAAATGCTAGTAGTCCCATGTTCACTTATGTCTAAATGCAGGAAGGTCTTGTGCTGAAACTACCACTATCATCACTTTGCTGCTGGACTTCATCACACTGTATTCTGTACCAGTTAGTCATGTACTAGACAGAATCTCACTAAAATATTTACACAAGAAATTAGTGGCATAGCATCAACATTGCTTGGAAAGCCATTCCTTTTTCTGGGTGAAGTCACAGAAGACTACAGCAGCTAATACTCTCTGACGTGGAATATTTTCACATGAACAAATGCATACAGGAGGAGGTGACAAGAGACAAAAAAGATGAAAACATTAAAAATGGGAGGAGTTTTTACAGAAACAGAGCTAGTGGAAGGCAGATGAAAAAGGGTTACAACAGAATTTTTAATAATTCTTTTCAGAGGAGGTGGATACGGAGGTAGGAGAATTAAAAAGAAAAGGAAAGGACACAGCAGTAATTGGTGTCTCTCTCAACTAGAGAAATGACCTGTCAGGTAGGTCTGAGAGCCAGAAAACCAGATACAATGCGTGCCTTCAGCACTGGAACGAGAGCTCTGCAGACAGAGCCTCTTGATCTTCAGACAGTTTCAGGAGTGTAATTCTGGCAGCTAACCCTTGCCTCTCCTTCAACCAAGATGATGTATAGAAAGCATGAAAGAATAAGGAACGTGTAACTTCACAACTTAACAAAGTCTAGAAGGCAGAAGATTAAAATAAAGGTTCCAACCACTGCAAAGTGGCCTGGGAAACTGCAGAGAGGAAAGCACATCAGTAATGCTTGTGAGATTTGTTTGAAAACCAAAAGAATGCGTGAGTTCTTATCTGCACTGTCATTCCTAATAGTCCTCGTAAGTGTACAGCAACTTCACAGAGGAGTCTTTTTTTTTTGTCCCCTGTTGTCTAAGCACAAACCTGAATTACTCCCTGTTGAACAAGCCTGCCAAGGTATCTTATGACACCATGCAACTCCATTCTTTAGCTTCATAAGGACAATAACAAACATGGTTTGCACATTGACTAAGCCATTCCTTCCTTATCATTCCCCCTCCCAAAACAATCTTCTCCTTGGATTTGTGAAAAAGGAAAATCAGATTACTATAATACAACTGCCAATATTGGATGCTAAATTTCAATTTTGTCCTGTACTCAGACACTAGCAAATTGGGAAAACTGATTTCTCCCTAATTTGCTCTTCATTGCTGATGACTTCTGATGATTATATGCATTCAGATGGCAAGGCTGATTATATACGGAAAGAAATTAAATACCAGAAGTATACAAATCAACATTTAAGAAAGTCACAACGAAACTTTCCAGACTAGATCAGTCTATTCATTATTAATTAATACTATGAACCATTAAGTCTCACAAATTTGGGCACTATTTCCACTGCATCCTCATCTGTCACTTTTTACAATACCTGTATGTATATGGTTCATTCATAACCTTACCTGGGCTCTTACACATTTGTCTGTGGCATTTTGTGAGTAGCATCAGGGCCCAAGCTCGTGAACAGATGAAGTGAGCGAAAGCAGCAGCAGATGCTTTTTCAGACAGTGTTCCTGATAAGGTTGCAAGAAAGTACAGGCTATGGCAGGTGCTCTGCTGCCTTAACGTGTGCAGTGTCCCACAAAGCAGCACAACTCTCTCTTTTGGGCACCCAAGTTTGAAATTGGGTCTAATCTTACTTCATTCCCCAAAGTGGATCAGTGCTGCCTTGCACAGTGATTTTGACTACTGCTAACAAGCCAGTCTGCCACGACAGCATAAAGAAAGACAGCATTCTCATTGAATTCTTTCCTCATCTAGACAAACTGCATATGACCAAATACGTAACACAGTCCTAAACAAATCACACAATCGTGCTATAGAATAAATAACACTTGTTCTGTTTCTACAATCACTTTCTGTACTCTAACCTTGCACACAGCCGTACGAGGGCTATAAATAATATATTCTCAACATTCCAGTCCCACCAGATGTGTCTTTTCTCAAATGTGAAAAGTAGTAGTGATGATACACTAACTTTACGAACCATGTAAAGCTCCTAGCTTGGAATTTTCACAGTGTGATGCATCTCCACACACACAGAGAGGGCAATGATAGCTATGCATCTAATTATGTTAATCAGGCACTTGTGAGTCAGACGTAGGCTGTCCACCAGTTTATTTCAACTGCAATCACCTCTAATTTTTAAAAGATTTAAGTTATTTGAAAGAACTAGATCCTTACCTCTTTGAAGAAAATAAAACAAATGTTTTTATGCTACCAGAGACTTAAATTCTCTATTTTAAACAAGACTATTTTTAGGCTGCTATTCCATGATTTCACGTGCAAGTTACACAGACAGCAGTCACTCTTTTAAATCTCCAGTAATTAAAATACATATTAATTATGTAGATGTGCCCAATTCAGGACCAAGACAAAAATCTGTGTTTGTGTAGCCTTTTGAATGTGGTTTAGTGATCACAAAATGGGCCAGAGTTAGAATACAGGCACTGACTCACCACGTGGCCCTGGTAAACCAGTTAGAGAGGGCCAAAACGTTGTGTCTCCCCGAGACTTACCACGTGTGAGATCACTCATGCTGGGAGCAGTCTCTGCATTTTGACTCCGGAGATGCTCAGTGTCCTTGTGTGACTCCTGGGATGCAGGTACTGAAGATGCTGAGGACGAGGAGGATGAAGAGGAAGAGGCTGGTTTGGATTTGGAATGCAGATCGTTCAGTCTCAGGAGATTTTCCGGAGTCACAGTGTCTGGATTCACTGGGGTAGGATGCAGTGTGGCTGGTGTTACTGGGAAGAAGCTCTCTCTGTTGTCCTTTGTATGCTTTGGGGTTGTGGGTGTTTCTCCCGTGGACTACATAAACCGAAACAGGGCAGGCAGAGACAGTGAGAAAATACACGCCAGTAATTCTGCATATGCTACCTGCTTCAGTGACAACTGCAGGCAGTACCAATGGTAGGACAAGGGGCAACGGGTGTAATTGCTTCAGTGACAACTGCAGGCAGTACCAATTTTGTAAACACAAAACACTCTCTCTAAAGCAAGTATAAAAATCAATCACTATTATAAAGAAATCTTTCTCCTTTACAGATTATTTTTCTGTTCTTTACAATATATTTATCAAACTATGAACAGATATTCATATTTACAATTCTTTATTTAACAAATCCCTCACAACATAACATACTTTCCTGAACTCAATTATTAATCAAGAATTACAAACTCTTGTGAACAGACACATTTCTTTCATTTAAAAAATATGTTGACAAACCCTTGACCTGAAGAAACAGATCTGCAGTGCTTTAAGAGAATGTGCAAATTATTAAAAGAAATTATTCTTAGTGAATGATGTGAGAAGAAATGGAGAAAGCAGAAAAATATCTTTGCTTGCAAAATAAGTGACCAGCCTAACCCCAAATTACAAATTTCCAGTAACTGAGTAACAATGGTGTCCAGCTTGGAAGAATGCTCTGGAAGATCTGTTGCCTTTGCAGATATAACAGTGGCACCAAGAGTGATGCTCTTCTCCAAAGCCAGAGCTAAGAATTTAATGCAGTGTTGTTAATTATAAGGTAGAAGGGTGACATAAATTCACCAAAGAAAGGAACAAAGTACCCATAAAATGAGTATCTTCTCTATAATTTTTATCAGCCACCACATAAAGTATTCTTGCCTGTGAGGCCACAGAATGCATTTATTTCATGCTCTTTACAGTCTTCATTTAATGGAGACTTATTGAACCATAAAAGGTATGGCTGAATGGAATCCTCAACTGTTTAATTGTCTGTCTCATACCTCTACCTCTCATACCTGTACCAGGAAGAAAAACTCATTTTAACCATGGTGATAGAGTCTGAGTGTTTGAAATAGAAATAAAGAGTTCTGATGTCAAATGTAAAATCAAATTGGGCCCTAATATCCTAGATAACCAAAGATTTATTACAATGCCAGAAAAGTCAGCAGAATTTCACTCAGAGAACAGAGTAAGTTTCAGCTGGAGAAATTACATATTTAAAATTCAAAGATGGAAAGCACACAAGTACATTGTTTAAAAAAAATAATTGGTGGAATGTATTTTTAAAGTTCCTGAACTTGATTAATCAGTCTCTAAAAAGCATACAGTTAAAACCTGTCAGACATCATGTGCACACAAAAAATAAAATATAGCAGCTATAATCATAACAATTACCATATTGGATCCAAAAAGGTCTATTCTGCTTCTGAAAGCATCAGTTCCAAAACTAAATGTCTCAAGATGCATAAATGGGATGACACAAACCCAAAGGAAATTTAACTGCAGAAGAAAGCCTTAAGCCAGAAGTGACATCACTAGAGGAAATGTTTTCAGCTGTGATTTAGAGGGAAAACCCTTCACATCCACGCACTTCATTAACTTACCTAATACATTATGTAGAAACTGAAATTTCTGTGCTTGTATTGCATCCAAATTTTTTTCAGCAGAAATACATGCAGGTACTACTAGTGAGGTACGTATTTGTCAAAAATATATCTGCACTTCAAACTGTATTTCTATAAAAATGCACAGCTACTTCCACAGACAGAAAGAGAACATTTGGAAAGTAACTCAGCAATATTTGGATGGTACTCAGAAGAAAAATGATTAGTGAGAGAAGCAGCACATCATCATGGAGTAATTCCTG